ACAATTTATTTGAAATCTTGAGTTTTAAGTAATATGCATTAATAAACAGTACTTTACGCATAAAAAGTGGTTTTTAAGAGTTTTTGTCAAATGATTTAATTTAAGTTTAATAATAAAATAATTTATTTTTGGTTTAATAGTATAAATTTTATAAAGATAATAATTAAATATTTTGTTAGAATTTAATGATTATACTAATTATATTTTAGATTTAAAATGAGATGTTTATCCTGTATTTGATTGTGTTTATCTGCAGTTAGTTACACGAATTCATATATGGGATAAAATCGGATAGGGATAAATGGTTTAAGAGTTTTTAAGAGTTTTAGTCAAATGTTTTATAATATAGTATAGATAACTAATTTATTATAAGAGTTATGGCTTAAATCTATACTATATTATAAAGAATTTGACAAAAAAATTTAAAAAATAATTTTTATGCATGAAGTACTGTATATTGATGCATATTACTTAAAATTCAAGATTACAAGTAAATTATGCATAAATACAACTTATTAAAACTTCATTTTTGAATTCGTGTAACTAACTGCGGATAAACATAATTAAATAGAGGATAAACATCTCATTTTAAAATATAAAAAATCTAAAATATAATTAGGATAATTATCGAGTTCTAACAAAATAATTAATTATTATCTTTATAAAAAATTATATTATTAAATCAAATACAAATTACTTCGTTATTGAACCTAAATTGAAATTATAATAATAACAAATTGAATTAGAAAATTACACAAAAAATAAGAATTTTAAATAGGTAATTTGATACTAATATCGATATATTTTTGTCAAATTTTTATGATATTTTCAAACTCATATTTTATTCAAAAATAAAAACATCATTGTTTTTTCAAAATCACATAAGACCATATTATAACATCGACTGAGATAAAGAATAAATAAAATACTAAAATCAAAATGTATCTCGCTGCATTGCACGAGTACCCTTCTAATATATAACTATCTAGTATATAACTAATAACAATATGACTATAAATATTCAATAACCATTTTATATAGAAATTCTTTTAATATTTTTTATAAAACCCATTAATAATAAAACCTTAATCGTTTAATCTATACTATATTATAAAGTATTTGACAAAAAACTCTTTAAAACAATCTTTTATGAATAAAGTATTGTTTATTGATGTATATTACTTAAAATTCAAAATCATAAGTAAATTATTTGTAAGTACAACTTATTAAAACTTCATTTTCTAATTTGTATAACTAACTATAGATAAACATAATCAAATACGGGATATACATCTCATTTTGAATATAAAAAATCTAAAATATAATTAGAATAATCATTATTTATAACAAAATACTTAATTATTATCTTAAAAAAAATTATATTATTAAACGATAAATAAATTATTTCGTTATTAAATCCAAATTAAATTATAAATAAAATATCAAATTAAAGAAATTATACAAAAAACCAGAACTTTAAGTAGTAAATTTGATACTATATAACTTTTTTTCCAAATTTTTATAATATATTTAAATTTATACTTTATTCAAAAATAATAACATTATCGTTTTCTCAAAACCACTAAAAACCATATTATATCAACATAGATAATAAATGGAGATATTTCTCCCTATATTATGCGAACACCCTTCTAATATTGTATAAATTTATACTTTTGAGACTTTTGCAACCTGATTTCAGGAATCACTCAAATAAAATTAAAAACATTTAAAATAGACAGATGAGTAAATTACGTTCTTTGTCCCTTTGATTTGTTAATAATTGTTTTTGATAGGGAGGGGGGTGACCCCTCCAGATCAAGAAAAAACACTTAAATGCTAAAAAGCAAGACAAATACGCGCTCGGGTGGGGCGAACCACATCCACCAGAAAAAGCCAAAGAGCCCCGAGAGAGAAGAAGGGAGAGAAAAGAAACAAACCACAAGAGAAAGGCCCAGGCAGGCAAAGCCTGAGCAAACAAAAGGGCAACAACAGAGGAAGGAGTGTTAATAATTGTTGAGATCATTCATGTGGTTTTAAAACTTCGGTTTTCATCTTTATGGATTACAATTCATTTTTATTTTTGTCCCTGAAGCCAAAACACTACTTTAAATATTGTAAACCATAAAGACAAAAAAAAAACAAAAATTTTAGATCATAATGATAAAAAATGTAATGAATTGTAAACCATACGGATGAAAATCATAATTTCAAAACCATAAGTACGAAAATAGAAATTTTCAACAAACCATAGGTTCGGGATGTAAACGAACCGAACGAACACAAACATGTTCACGTTATTTCGTTTAACTTAACCGAACAAACGAACGAACACGAACGGTAAACGAACAAAAATCATTATGTTCGTGTTCGTTCGTTTAGAAATCATGTGTGTTCGTGTTCGTTTATGTTCGTTCGTTAACATGCTAAACGAGTAAACGAACAGGTCTAAACGAATAGGCCTAAACGAGCGGGCTAAACGAACATAAGCAACAATAACACTTGGTTTGTTTGACGTTTTTGCTAATGTCAAAACAACCCCAATTGAGGTCTACATAGATGTTTCTGTAGCCGTTTTCATCCTCTGTTTTCCAGTCGTAAAACCTAAAAAACCAGCAACTTTTTAGGTTCTTCTAAACCAAGAATCCAAAATCGAGAACCCTTTGATTGATCCCTGTGTGTGCGCCTTTAAAACCTTGTCAATTTTTTTTTTGAAGTATATAATATTTATTATACGGCAAATGCAACAAATAAACTCACACACCCTCCTCACCTATGGTGAGATTTGAACCTCTGACCTCCTAGAAGACCAAGGGCTACGATACCGCTAGGCCAAAGGCCCTTTGGTAAACCTTGTCAACTTTAGTGCTTATTAACAAAGATCCTGACAAGAAAGAGACAAAATAAAGATTGACAATTTCACAATAAATTTCAACACTAAGGATACCCTTTCAACATATTTTAAACTTGAGGCAGTTTTGGGTTTGATACGCTTCACCCATTAGTAAGAAATACTCTGGCAAGTACGTGTCGCACTGGTGCCGGAATCAAACAGTTATCCACAGAATACGTAACCAAAGATGCCCTTTGCAATATCATATATGGAAGCTGCATAACGACAAGCTCGTTTATCATCTACTACAACATTCTTATAAAAACTAAGGGGGCGATTGGTTCGTAGAATGGAATTCGATGGAATTGGAATTTATCAAATGAATTTGACTTTGAGGGAATGAAATGAAATTTGACCATGCCTTTTGATTGCGTTTGGTTGGATGGAATTGAAATGAAATTCTTACCCGAATTGGAATTTTTTTGTTTCGTTCACGAAATTCAACGAGAAAATTACAGACAAAAAAAAAACCGAAACTTTCGGGCTGGGTTCGGGGACATCTTATCGGGGACGGGTTCGGGGACATCTTATCGGGGACGGAACGGGAATCGAGGACAAATTCATGGATTTTAACGGGGACAGGGGCGGGGACGGTGATCATCGGCCCGGCCCGGCCCGGCCTGATATGTGTATATATATTAATTTTAATTTATATACATATACATATACATATATATATATATATATATATATATATAATATCATTAAAAGAAAATAGTAACATTAAAATTTTAAAAAAATTTATCCACTTTACTTCAACAACCTAAATAAGGCTCACGAAAAAGGCTAGTTTATTTGTCCAATTGTGAAATCGTGATTTTAGTTGTATGATGTTTGAAGTTCTGTTTAGTTTTATATTGTAATCTAATACATTGTTTGTAATTGGTTCGATTATGTTTGACATATTTAAAAAAATTGTAATCTACTTTTAGTTGTGAAAATTAACATATTGTAATTTTTTTATATATGTTTCGGGTTTCAGTTTCGGGTTCGGTTACAACCAACAGTGAAAGGGAAAAGGAGGATTTTTACCTTAACGAGTTCCCCAACGGGGATCGGGGAAACCGCAGGGACCCGATAAGATCCCCGACGGGGATCGGGGCGGTCATGGGGACGGTTTTAGTTGTCGGTTTCTGGGACGGAGATACCAATAACCGGCCCGAACCTGGCCCGTTGTCATTCTTAGTTTTAAATGAGATCGAGCATAGCAGAACAGAGCAAATCGAGATAGAGCGTCGATGAATGGATGATGGCTAAGGAATTTGTCGGATTGGAATTTGAAATCTGTGGTATATGCGGTGTAATTGTGAAATCAATGAATTAAGGAATTGGAAGGATTCCTTCACATCTATTATGTGAACCAAACATGGTATTTGGAATTTGGTCAAAGAATTGGACATTCCAATTGCTTCTAATTCCACCAAATTCCATAAACCAAACACCCCCTAAGCTTCCAAGAAGTTTTGTACCATTTCGAATATTGAACTTTTGGCCATTTTGCTTCTAAACGTTATTCATCTTCACCGATCAAATTCGTGTATGCAATTAGAAAAAGTGAAGAAGTCGTCTTCGAACCAAGAAATAATAGTAGAACGAAACATCAAGAATAATTGTTTGCTTTGAATATTTTAAAATCAAGCACATTTCTGTAGTTTTAATCATGTTACAAATTCAATACGAAGATGATTAATTACCTGCTGATATGCATTGAAGCAAATTGCAGCAATGAGAGACCAAATCTACACCTGTTTGACATTCAATCCCTGAAATGGTGACAATGTGTGATTAAGATCCCACATCGATTGTGGAAAGGAACAATGGTGTCTTATAAGAGACTTGATACCTTATCTATCAAATGTGTTTTAGAACCGTGAGTCTAAATGTAGACAACGTGGACAATATCAGGTACTGTGGTTAAAACTTTGTTCATCTGATTATAGTGATTACTGTAGAAAAAAAGCCTCAGGTTCGAGATCTAGAACCTAAATAGACATAGTTGTACATTTTTTACCAAACACTTTTACCATATTATCATGTCCATTCAAGTGTACATCTTATCCAACCATTGCTCATCAAGAACCCTAAAAATCATCATACACAAAACCCAAAAACAAAGCTTCCTTCATTTTTCAAAGGCATAAATCACTCAAAACACAGCATTTTAGCAGTCAATTCATTCAGGACATAAAAACATGTAGGCTTTCAGTTCTGGTTGCTTGACAAACAGGACAATTTTCAGTGAACACTTGACAGTCTTTACACAGACACAGATGCCGACACGGCAGTAACAAAACACAAACTTCTTTAGCGTTGCACGCTCTGCAGTTTAACGCCTTCGTTTGATTTGTGGCATTTACGTTGGTATAAGAGGCAGTATCATCCACCTCACTATCCCCGTACCCTTCTTTTCCTTCCACAGGCTTCTGTGCCATCACTTGTTGCAGATTGTTCTTCAGGGCATTCACCACTGATTCATTGTATTTCGCTCTGTAATGCCACGATTGAGCTTCCATTGTAACTTGCTTTATTTTCAACCCCAATTCAATGTTTTTTCGGTTCATGTTCTCTATTTCCATCTCTTTCTCCCTCCACTTCTTTCCCACTTCTTTCTCCAATGTGTTTAGTATGGATGCAGTGTGTTTCTGATTCAATTCTCTTATACCCTTCATCATATTTTCTTCCTAAAAACAACAATTGAGTTGGAACATTATGATAAAAGTTATGGTTTACGCACCTATGCATATATAGTACATATACGTTGATGAATATACTAAATGACAATACATATTTTGATAGTATAGATGTATCAACCACAAGGGTGGTGCCTGATTGGTTTGTGCTTGGCTCCAAAGGTCAAAAGTACCAGGAGGTCCCAGGTTCAAATCCAAGGAGGAATAAAAATCCCCTTGTGGCCACGAAGGTTCAAATGCAGTGAATCCGGGCTATCTGCAAAGCAGGTGGTCGCCCTGGGATTAGTCGGCTCGCATAGCGGATTGGATATCCAGGTTAATCAAAAAAGATAGTATAGATGTATCAATGAACATTCATATGCATATATTAGTTCTTATAGTTCTCATTTGAACTTCCCCCAATGATCAAAGTTCATGATGAATATACAAATACCTGAATATTCATTAATATTATTCATCATGAATATCATGCATTTTCATTTATTAATATCTATCACAATCTTCACCATGAATAGTTGGTTATCACAGTTCCTAAATGAACCTGCCTCTACGACCACCAAAACATATGAATCAAACAGGGGATTACCTGAACTTTAACGTAATGATCAAGGAGTTCTTTATGACGATCCATTTCACGTCTGATGCTATTTGTGAGTGAGTGAGTAACAGGGTGAAGAGCTTTCAAGTTTTCACTAATGGATGTGACAGAAGAGTTACGTTCATCTTCCTCATAAGATAGTTTCAAGCCAGTTGATACACCATTCGGATTCATAGAGGTTCTAGTACGGCCTGTGTCATCTTGACAGAAGTTGTTGTTCAAAGATATGTGAAGCTTTTGCTGTGCAGACATGGGTCCTGGTTCACGTGCCCTCTTGATAGGGCGACTTGAAGCCACGCCATGCTCGTTTCCAACAAAGTTTATATTATCGATTGTACACCCAACTGGAACTGCACCATATAAAGAAAACAGTAAAAACATTAATCACCATTTGGTCTATTTGGCCTTTGTTAGGTTAGGATATCAATCAGATATTTAAATACCAAAGTCATGAAAGCCCGACCCAAGGCCTTGAACCAGCATAGGTCAAATGAAGGCACAAACCGAACACCCAAGACTTGTGAGCCACTGAACAGATCCAATGTGGGCATAAAACTTGGTAAAATGTCCAACATGGCTCCTAATACACTTTCAAATGGGGGTCTTTGGTAGATATACATTCTTCCAAGAACTAGCCTTATCTATCATATTCAAACTGTGTGGAGCCCCATTTCAGCCAAACATAACCTATATGTATATATATGTAGGAACCTCCCATCTTACCCATGATTCAACCATTTGGGCATATTGGCATATTTTAGGAGAATGTATGATTCAACCATTTGGGCATATTGGCATATTTAGGAGAATGTTGCATACCTTATTTAATGTCCCAACCCCAAAGCAATAGGTTGATCCAATAACTTCGAATTCAACTTAAACCGTGACAGAAGTTATTGTTTGTCCACAACTTTGAACTTATAAGGAGCTCACATATCTATTCCTCTAACCATATGGGGCGAGTTGTTACACCTATATGTTGCTTAAACGCCAAATCCTTTATCTATTGTTCTTTGGTGACTAGTTATGAAACTTGAACGAGAAAACAATGTTCTCCACGACCGTAAAAGGTATATAAAAGGGTATCTTCTTAAGAATCGTCGTTTCCCATATTCGATTATGGTTTACTTCTTCTTCTTCTTCTTCTCTAATCTTTATATACATATATATGATATCTGAAGATTATGAAAGGAAAATGGAGATCTTGAAGACAAAAAACTCACATTTTCCAAATAGCTGAAGCTGAGGCAATGCACTCATGTCATACTGTGACCGGTGTTCCTCAGGATGGGCATTGGTAAGACCTCCGAACATGTTACTGTTGCCACCATAATGTTCCACACATCAATAATCGAATCATTCTACTGCAGAATTCAACATATCACATACAAACATCTATCGACTGACTGCAATTCATAATCACAAGGACAAGGATGCATCTAAATAACAATTTCAACTAAAATCAGTAGAAAATAACCTAAAATTTCAATAATCAAACCTTGGAGACTTGAACAATGACCCTCAGATCCATATACGAAAACAAAAATTTCCCATAACCCCAAAAGAAAACAAGATCAAAACATAAAAATGTCCCTAGATTACCAAAAAAGAAGACGGAATTACACAGAAATGAGATGGATGGATGGATTCATATAAACATAAAGAAAGAAAGAAAAGAGGGTTAGATCTACCTTGAAATGTGGTCAAAATGATGATGGTAAGATGGGAGGAATGATGAAGGTACAACAAGTAGTGGGTGAAGAATGGGTTGATGATGCTGATGATGATGATGATGATTCCATTTGTTGTTGTGGTGTTGTTGTTGTTGTTGATGTAAAAAGAGAGAGCTTGTTGAAGAATTCTTCCATTGTTCTCTCTTGTGGCAGCTTTGTTTTCGTTTTCCCACCAGTATATTTTTGTTTTTTCTTCGATACGGTTACCGACGTGCGGACTCTAGTTTTGATTTTTGACTCTTCCTCATCTTCCTCCTTCGTTCATCACTCTTTTATTACTATCACACATCCCCAACAACCATCTACCCTTTTTTAGAATCCGTTTCTTTTTTTTTTTACATCCATAAACCCAATTTTTTTTTATTAACCTGGATATCCAATCCGCTATACCAACCGACTAAACCCAGGATGACTACCTGTTTTGCGGGTAACCTAAAGTTACTGCATTTGAACCTTCGTGACCACAAAGAGATTTTTATTTCTACTTGAATTTGAACTTGAAACCTCCAGACACTTTGACATTTGGAGCCCAAGCATAAACCCATTTTTAATACTGTTTTTTTTCTTTTAAATTTTTATGGGTTGGTTTTTTATTTAAATACTGGTTATCTTACCATTCTTATATACGTAACTTCACGTTATATAAATCAGTATGTTGATTTGTTAACCCAAACATGAGTTCTAACATCATCGATCATATCGTTAACTTTGAGTATGGGCGGTGATCAATGATTTTTATGAGGTTGTTTTGACATGCTTCTAAAATCTTGTTTTGCTAATGGGTGTTCATGGTTTAGCTAAAATTGATTTGAATCAACCAAACCAAAGCAATTTGGCTAGTTTAGTCAGGTTAGTCATGAAAGGTCGTTGGGGATATTCTGGGCTGTTCTCTGGGGATTATATATAGTATTAGTCGAGGTGCGTACAAACTGACTTTAAAATATATGGTTAACAAAAAATAGTTATCAAACAAGGTATTCGGCTGAATTTATTGTTTCTAGTGTTAAGTCAATCGTTTCAACTAAAAACGAACCATTTAACGCCCCACTCCTCAATCCCCCTCTATTTAAAAAAATGATTAGTTAGATGTTTATGCTTTTGTGCTTATAAACAAAGAAAATTAGCCTAAATCGCTAAACTGATTTTGATCAGGTTGGTTGGGGTCAATGATTCGACCGGTTTGGCTTGGAAATATGTCAAATCTAAGTTACCAGTTTGGCTGAGATTACACTTTTCAAACGGGTCGAACAAAACTGCAAATACTTGTAGTTTTGTCCTACATCTAACCAATCGTTTTTGGTATTTAGCATAGATGTAAACATTCATTCATTTGCAACAAAAATGTCTTATATGAACAAAATAAACAATACAATTATTGTATATAGCGTTTCACGAGGAATAAGTCATTGTCACGAACAAGAATTTGGTTTTCGAGGGCCTCCAAACTCATTATTATTAGGTACTGGTAAAAAATTAACTTTAAATCATACGTAATTTATTTTGCAGATATACAACAATCAGTTCTACATCTATCTTAATAGAATATCTCAGTATCAGTCGAAATGCCAATAAAACATGAAACCGTATATTGATAACTAGTAGTTTTATTGCAAAAATAACTATAAAAATGTTATTCTTACATTTTTTTTTACATATTTTAACACCATTTCATTATAAAAAGGATAAAATGCATGAAAAACAACATACTTGGCTAGGAATTAGGATTTTTATTTTTAATAGACCTCTAAAACTTCCATTCTATCATATTTGATGTGACAACTTACGTATAATGATTAGGGGTGTAAACTATAAGAGACAATTCACGAGTTACTCGAGATCGATACGGTCAAAGCTCGGTCAACACTTGACTCGAATAGGCTCGGCTCGAACTTGAGCTCGACTCGACATATTAACGAGTCGAGTGAAGCTACCCAATACTCGACTCGAAAAGCTCGTGATATACTCGATTATTTTATATATAGTTAGATTTAAAATATAATCAATTTTTATAATAAAATTTGTAAAATATAAATAATAAAAATGTCTTATATTTTTATATATTTAAACAAAATTATGCATTTAATTATAAAAAAATCAATCAATTATTTTTTTATTAAAGTCACAATTAAAAAAAGACAAAGAAGAACTATAAGAAAGGCTAGTGAAATTGTCCCACGTTGGAAGATAGATGATAAAGGAAGGAAAAAAAGATGTTATAAAAAAGAGGGAGGTGAATAAAATTTGTCTTTTTGATGATGAAGTTTGAAGTTGATTCCTTTAGTGTTATAAAAACTAAGATAATACCTTTAAGTTTTAAAATTTATAAAAGAAAGACCCTAAAATTTCATAAATTTCAATGGATGAGCTTGGTTCAAGTTCGAATTCAAGCTTAATTTGAGTTGCAGTTTCAAGCTTGGTTCGAGTTCGAATTCAAGCTTGGTTCGAGTTCGAATTCAAGCTTAATTTGAGTTGCAGTTCGAGCTTGAGAAATAGTTATCGAGTTTGAGTTGAGTTTTGATTTTTACTACTCGTGAGTTTTCGAGTCGAACTCGAGCTTGGAAATTGGGTTCCAAGTTCGAGTCGAATATAGTGATACTCGAGCTCGACTTGCATCATTTATACTCCTAATGATAATCTATGAAAACATAGCATAGTTTTATTTGAATTTTGTATAACATATTTTGATCTAAATATTCAATATCACATATTTGAAATTTCGAAATAAAAGTTATATATATAAGTTATTATATATATATATATATATATATATATAATAATAATAACTAAATAAAGAATACGTTATATTTTTATATAATTTAATAAAATCATAATTACAATATATTAAAATAAAGTTGTTTTTGTTATTTTCAAAGTAATAAAGATACCAATAAGGACAAGAAGAGGGAAAGGAATTGATGATTCCATTCCCTGCATCTTTTGTTGTTGATTCCATTCCATTCCTGCGATGGTATTGGCGGGTGTCACGTTTACGTTTACTCGTTTTCCCACTCCATTTCCCCCACTTTGATGTTTAAGGTAACCCATCTCACCAAGTCATTTGTCGGCATCGACATATTTGAATTGAACATCCTCCAAACACGCATTACGTATATTATGGTTTAAACATGTTTCACATATTAAAATGCAATAATGCTTTGAAGAAAAATATAATAATAATTAAATAACCACTTTAATGCAGATTTATAGCATCATTCAAGTAAATACAGATTAAGATCGTAAAAATATAGCTACACCTAATATCAGTAACTGTTCACAGAGACAGATCTAGAAGATATTTTTGTGGTTATGCTGTTATATACAACCGAATAAAATGGTAGCACTTTTAAGGACTATATAAGAAATCACACTACATTTGGAAAAATTGTGGTTGCATGAGTGGTACTCACGGGTAGACATGGCGAAATCGGCCCGGGACCCAAAAAACGTAACATAAAACGTTTACAATTCTCGCTATATTTTGTGATTTCGGCTTGTATCCGTTTCACACTTCCACTTCTCTTTCTCATTTCTCTCTCTTTATCTTCGAGAATGGCCGATGAACAACATGAAAAACTTTCTACTTCTGCCATTTCTACTGGTTCTTGGTGTTGTATTTGCAGATTCCAGTTTCAAAGAAGAATATGCAACTCCAAGAGAAAAAATGTTTTTTTGGCTAACAAAATTTTGCTTCTTTGGCTTATCAAAGGAAACTTTTTGGCATCATAAGGATTCTTTTGAAGGTGGATTTTGTGTTGGATGTTGTATCAATGTCTTAGGTTATCTATACTATATTATAAAGTATTTGACAAAAACTCTTAAAACAATTTTTTATTCATGAAGTACTGTTTATTGTTGCATATGACTTAAAATTCAAGATTACAAGTAAATTGTGCGTAAGTACAATTTATTAAAGCTTCATGTTTGAATTTGTGTAACTAACTGTAGATAAATATAATTAAATAAAGGATAAATATCTCATTTTAAATATAAAAAATCTAAAATATAATTAGAATAATCATTGACTTCTAACAAAATATTTGATTATTATCTTTATCAAATTAACTCTTGAAGACGATTATGTGGAGAGAAGGATTACCTCGAGGTGTTCTTCGCAAAGGTCAGCGGTGTTATAGTAGAAAGAGATGCCAAGCTTTGTTTCCATGGCGGAGTGATCAATGCGGGAGTGTGCAAGGACGTTGTGGCCTTGACGAACTAGGGTTTTCGAAAGGAGTGTGCAAGGACGTTGTGGCCTTGGATTCGTAGTCGAAGGGTTGATCTGCATATATGGCGGAGATTTGGAAATTACGAAAAAGGCATAGGATTTGGATCTTTCGTAGATGACACGGTGGCAGCAGAAGAAAATGAGATAGAGAGTGGTGGTTGCAGCTGCGATGGTGGTGGTCGGAGAGAATGGACCTGGAAATCGTCGGAGAATTGGAAAGCATTTTTTGATGAAGCTTCTTGTCGTGTTTGTGAACATGAGAAAGAGGGATTTTGACTTCCCAGACGACGGTAGACCGGTTTTATTTTGAAAGGAGGAAATGGGAGCTTATTTATTACAAGGGTAGGAATGGAAAGAGGAGGTTGAGAGTATATGACTCTACTCAAAGGGCTGAGCGAACAAGCCCATTTCTGAATCAATAAGTCATTTTCGAACAACAATGTATGGCTTACCAAATAAGCCATACATGATATACAGCCCATTAAGTTGTTATCGAACAACCCCTTAGTATTGTGTGGGTGGTCACACAGTCAATTAAGCACTCAATTTCTCCTCGATACATTCATACAAGGAACGAAGAATATTTAAATTTTTTGTTTTGATGTATTACTTTACATCAATGTTTTAGAGATTGAATATACATAAATTAAAGTTTCTTTAGGACTTTAAAAAAAATTCAAAACAATTCACCAATCCACAGATCGAATTAAGTTCACCAAAATACTACAAAACTTAAAAACTAATAAATAATATCTCAATAACTATTGTCCTTAAAAAAATAAAGCTGAGGCATATTAGACAAAATCTAGGGACTGTAGTGATGGATCATTGTCTTTGATTACTTGGGTCAATAGTTTCATTTCTGTGCCATGAATTGGAAAATCCACTAGGACTATTACTGCGACCCTTTCCATGGCTCAGTCCA